TGTATTTTTTTCTCCAACGACTCCCATAATTCCTTTGCCGTCTTGATAGAGCTATAAACGTTGTACAATGTATTATCAAGCCCATTCAAGATATAGTTGCAGCAAAGGAAGTCTACATGCTTCCAGGTGTCGACCGCAGCAACCACTTTTCAGTCGGTTTCATCATCCTTTAGAACATGACCGTCTTCACGAAAGAAATAGACCAGATTTAATCTAATAAGATAGAACAACATTTTCAGCTGTCATATTTTAAAGTCGGTTCCTAGGAACTTTTCTAGCTTTTTCCCATGATTCACTATCACGGTCACAATAAGGAGGGATTGAAGTAGTCGCAGCACCGGTCGGATTAGACGTTTGAGCAATTTCAATAGTCATTGAATTCTAAATTATAAAGCAGAATTATAATTAAAATTTTATACTACACAGAAAATTAAACCAAAAAACACAGAATATAATTTTGTAAAAAAAATAAATAAAAGAAACAAAGTTGTAACTTTTCTTTCAAAGTAATTTGAAAATAAACTTTTATTTAATCAAATTAATTCCACACAGAATATTATTTCTGTAAACTTCAAAAATTAAGATACTAAAAATTAGAATTTTAATTAATGAAAACCCAGAATATTATTTCTGAAAATTCAAAATTAATTTCTGACAAACTTAACATAGAAAATAATTTCTGTTAAAAAAAACTAAAATGAATTTTTTCTACAAGGAAACAAACGAAAATTTCTATATAAATAGAATAAGGCAAATTTGTTTCAAGATTGTTGGAACAATCTTCTGTGTAAAAAATAAATAATGAAACAAAGTAAATAAATTACTTACAGGAAGTTCTTGTACCGAAAGTTAGAACAGCAAAATCACTGGGTAGTTAGAATAGCAAAATCACGGTCAAATCGAATATGTGACACTCGGTTCTTAAGACAGATTCACCGCCATACAGGTGCTCACGAATTATCGGCGCCTATCTCTCAGGATACAATGATCACTTACACAGATTATAATAGCACTACAAACAATCCGTTCTGGCAAACCAGAACCTGAGTTCTGAAACTCTCTTAAAACTCTAAAAACTAATATGAACAATAAATGCAGCACAAAAGGAAAACGGGAAAGGAAAAATAGAATGAATTAAATTTGTTGAAGGATCTTGTATTTCTAGGCCAAGAGGTGTCTGTTCGAAAGGGTAGATTCTTTGAACAAGTGTGAAACCTAGAACCGTCGAAAAATGAAGAGAGACAACCGGAGATGCACTGTTTCGGGAAACAAAAATTCAAATTCAAATTTTGACGCAAAAGTTTGAATTAATCCATTAGGATTTCAAATTTGCCCACAAGAATTTGAAAAAATTCAAACTAATTTTGTCTAAAAAAATTAAAGCTCGGACCCGACCTACAACCCACACCCAGATGGATGGCATGCGGGATGGATTTTGGTCAAACACACTTTGTCAGTAACTCCCCTCCTTATAAAACTTGGGGTGCCCCTTGGGGCCCATCCCAAGCATGTCAACCTAAAATTTATATACTCATATAAACTCTCTTATTGTTTTTGTGTGAGACACTCAAAATAAGGTAGCCCACATTTGACTTCCACTTTCCATTTCACGAAATCGAAAACGACGCCAACTTTCTATTCACTCATAAACAGTTTTGATGATTCGTCTTTACCATGTGACTTGTCATGCGGCAAGGAACACATCACCACTTGGACTTACCTCAAAAGATGCGTGGGCCCAACTTAAATTTGGGCTCAAAGATGGCCCAAAATAAGTCTGTAAAATCAAAATTTCCAACATATATAATTTGGTATTCCTAGCATTACCCGTAACATTTTTCTGTTTTCTTTGCTTTTGATTCTTCATCTTCTTTCACTAAACCCAAGCATAGTTTTCAACTCGATCATTAAAAATCAAATTTCTAATCCCATTTCTCCATTTGTGAATATTAATGTTTGGTACAAGCAAAACTTCCATAGAATCAAGATCAAACCCATATTATGGATTTAGTAACAGTCAAGATTACATAGATTTTTCTATTTAAATGTACTTTCATTTTCAACAAAAGTAATACCTAGAAGAAAAGCAAGCTATAGAGGATATGCTAAATGTGGTCACTTCCTATCCTATAAAGCACCTTCGTCTTGAGAACAAAAGCTATGGAGAGCTAAAGATGATCCATTATTTTCCTATATGATCCAAACAACTTTTCAAAAAAAAATGGAACTACCTTAATTTTAAAACAATAGCTAAATTACATAAAAAGAGATAGAGAAATGTACAAATGATTCCAAAATTCTAACAATAATGTCAACTCATGTTACAATCTTAATCATGGATGCTTCAACACGAAGATTTGCAAATATCGTGATTTTGTTCCATTAACTCCGATATTAACCATCTTTAAAAGAAAAAGTCAAAAAAAAAAGAAACAAAAAAAATCTGTTATTAACTATAAAAAAAGAATTTTTTTTAAAAAAAAACCATGAAGATGTCGGTGTAGAACATGTAATACTGTTTACCAAAAAAAGAACTTGTAATACAGCTTTGCCATGAGGCTTTTTAAAGAGAAACATGGCTAGAGAGATTCGTTTGGATCATCAACTTTTTGAAAGCAGGATTCACCATTGGAAAGAGAAAGTTCCCAAATAAGTTTGCTAGCTTTTGCATCTAAAGGGGAATTATTTTTTATTTTTATTTTTATTTTTTTGACTGTCGTACAGGGCCAGCTCAACTCTCAATGAGGCTTAAAAGAAAATTGGGGAAATTAAAAAAAAAAAAAAAAAACTCAAGGTATGATGTTTGTAACCAAATAAATCATATGTTTTTAATTTTATCAATTTAAACTCTAAAATGTTGATTTGTTTTCATATTTCCATGAAATAAAATTGATGAAAAAATTGCGTATTTTAGTTATTAAACTTAACCCACAAAAAGATAAAATAGACAAAGTCAATCATATAAAATATCACATATAAACCATAATCATTTCATTTTTTATTTCACAAAATTATTTAAAAAATAATAATAACAACAAAACAAAACATCAACCCAAACAATACTATTTTTTTTTTGGGTGAATAAAACAATACTATTTTAGTTAGGCTAAAATAGCTAAAAATTCAGGCTAAATTTTTTTTCTCAAACAAAGCCTTAATGAAAAATTGTATTTTATGCATTTTATGTATATCTACATTGAACTTAATGACTAAAATAATTTTTTTCTATCAATTTTACTTAATGAAAATAAGTAAATAGTTTAGATTAAAAATAAATTAAAATATTAGGGTTTAAATTAACAAAATTAAAATTTTAGAATTTATTTTGTTACCATACTCAAATCTTGGGATTTTTTTTTAATTGCCCAACAAAATTTCAATAACAGTGTCTTTTATATTTAAAAGAGATTAATTAACTTTTTGTATTTATTTGGGACCTTTAGTCAAAGAATATATTTTTTTTGTTGGGCCTTTTTACGAGAAGAATTTTTCATTAGCATTTGCGATTGGAACTTTTAATCCAGAAGCGTTATTTAATGGGCTTATTATGGAAATACATTTATAGTATTCATGATCAAGTACTTTTAACACTGAGATTTTTTCCTATTTAAAAAAAAAAAAACAAAACAAATCAAGTTGTTTGGTTTTGGTTTTCGGAAAACACTTTTAAAAAAATTCTATTTTTTTTATTTTCTGTATTTTTTTTTGTTTTCAATGAATTTTTTTAATATTTAAGCAATTTTTTTTTAATTTTTAGAAAACACCTAACATAAATACACTTAAAAATAAAATATTTGTGAAAAAGATCTTTAAAAAAAATTACTAAATACCAAAAATAAAAAAAAATGAAAATTCAGTATATTTTTCATATTTTGGTGTATTTATTAAAATTAGCATTTGCGATTGGAACTTTTAATCCAGAAGCGTTATTTTACGGGCTTATTATGGAAATACATTTATAGTATTCATGATCAAGTACTTTTAACAATGAGATTTTTTCCTATTTAAAAATAAAAAATAAAAAATAAAAACAAATCAAGTTGTTTGGTTTTGGTTTTCAGAAAACACTTTTAAAAAAAATTCTATTTTTTTTATTTTCTGTATTTTTTTTTGTTTTCAATGAATTTTTTTAATATTTAAGCAATTTTTTTTTTAATTTTTAGAAACACCTAACATAAATACACTTAAAAATAAAATATTTGTGAAAAAGATCTTTAAAAAAAATTACTAAATACCAAAAATAAAAAAAAATGAAAATTCAGTATATTTTTCATATTTTGGTGTATTTATTAAATATTTAAAATATTTTTTCATAAATATTTTACTATTTAGATACATCTAAGTAAGGTGCATCTAAAAAAATAAAAAAATTACTTAAAATTTTAAAAATATTCATTAAAAATAAAAAAATATAAAAAATAAAAAATTTAATTTTTCTCATTTTGGATGGTGAAGATTTTTTTTTACCAGGCATTTAGATTTTGGGCCTTAATAAACAGAATTAAAGTTTGGGACTTCCAAAATTTAGGGCTTAGAGCATCTCGAACTATACTCTCTAAAATGCCTCCTCAAAGTACCTCCTTTATTTTGCCTAACTAATTTAACTAGTGTGCACTCTTTATTTTAACTAACCAATCAAACTAACTTAACTAAATTTCAAAAGAAAACTATTATAAACGTTAGTAAATAAATAAATAATCTTTTTATGACATGCTGCATATATTGATGTGGCATTTGCAAAAATTTATTTATTTAAAATATATAATTAAATTATTTATAAAAAAATATTTTCAAACAATCATATTATCTCAACGGTCATATTTTCAAACGGTAATATTCTCTCACCGGTCATATTTTTAAACGGTATTATTTTCTAATGGTAATATTCTCTAACGGACGTATTCCTAACAGTTATATATTTTTGTTCATAAAAAGGATTTGTTCTTTCATTTTTACCAATTTGAATTATATTTCTCAACTTCATTCATTTTTTAATTACTATGGCTCGTAATACCATGAAAATGATTCTTAACGACTTTGACGGTGATGAGGAATTGCAGGTAATAATGACAGCTGCAATGGAAGAAGAGGGACTCAATAGAGAAAGATGTTCAAGAAGACATAGTGGTTCCATTGAAGGCCATGCAATTATTTATCGCGATCGAGTTCAATGCCATGAGAGACTTTATCAAGACTATTTCTCAAAAACAACTATATATCTTGCCCATTTATTCAGGAGGAGATTCCGGATGAATCGATCTCTCTTTCTTCATATTCTATCTACGGTGGAAGCATACGATCCATATTTTGTCCAGAAAACAGATGTTGTTGGAATCATTGGTTTGTCTTCCCTTCAAAAAATGGCAGCTACTATGAGGATGCTCGTTTATGGAGTAGCAGCAGATTCAGTGGATGATTATGTGAGAATTGGTGAAAGCACCGCCATAGAGAGTCTAAAACACTTCGTTAAGGCGATGGTTGCAATGTTTTTGAGAGGTACATGAGGAGCCCTAACAATGATGATATTTCAAGATTATTAGCGATGGGATGCAATCGCGGGTTTCTTGGTTTGTTAGGGAGCATTGATTGTATGCATTGGAAGTGAAAAAATTGTCTTACTGCACAGAAAGGTATGTATTTTGGTCACATTCATGAACCAACTATTATTTTAGAGGTTGTGGCTTCTCAAGATCTATGGATATGGCCTGCGTTTTTTGGCATGCCCGGATCTCATAACGACATCAATATATTAGATCATTCTTCTGTATTTTCACTCCTTACTCAAGGTCGTGTTCCTCCAGTCAATTACTCAATCAATGGAAATGATTATACAATGGGATACTATATTGCCGATGGTATATATCCGCAATGGGCAACATTTGTCAAAACAATCTCATCTCCACAAGGGAATAAGCAAATATATTTTGCAAAAGCTCAAGAATCGGCAAGAAAAGATGTTGACCGAGCATTTGGTGTGCTCCAAGCACGTTTCGCGATTGTGCGAGGACCTGCACATTTTTGGAAAACGGAAATAATGGAAGATATTATGATGGCATGCATAATAATGCATAACATGATTGTTGAAGATGAGAGGGATGTCAATGGAATAGACTTTAATTATGATACAATTAGTGAAAGTCTTCCACTAGTGTCTCTTGAGCTTCCACCAGAGCTTTTTGAATTCATTCAAAATCATCATTATTGATTTTTGTCCTAGTTTATATGCTTTAGTGAGTGTGTTTTCAAAAATATTTGTACTACTTTATGTGCTTTCAATAATATATCACTAGTGATTTGTTTTTAATCTATGATCTTTAGTGATACTTAAATTAAATTTTTTCTGTCAATAAAACAATAAAACAAGCCATACTAAAACAATAAAACAATATATCATTGCAGCTTGTATCATATTTACTCTAAATAAAACAATATAAAATGTGCTAGCAACAAGTCATATAAAAGTGATGCAATTAATTTAGCTGTTTGATAAACCATCAGCAACAACAAGCAGCAATTCCAACTGAAACTATCCCAAAACATCACAAAATATCTCTATTTTCAGCAGCATGACAACTCAGCAAAACAACCCCAACTGATACAAGATGTGCCAGCAAACCCAAAAATCAAATACAACCAAACTTAAATTAAATAAAAACATAGTTTCGAAGCTAAATAAAAACAATTAATTCATTTTTTCAGGGATTTGCATCTAACGTTGGCGAATATATTGTGCTTGCAATGGAGGCATCATACTCGTATCCATTGACATGATTCTCTCTTCCTCTCTTCCTTCCTCCAATGCAAGCCTTCGTTCCTCTCTCCTTTCCTCATTTTCAATCCTCCGTTCCTCTTTAAGATAAGATTTCTCAAATATCTCTATTTTCTTCTCATTTGTTATATCGTTCTTTACCTTTATCTCTTCTAAGAGCTTCACAAAAGGCGACTTTGTAACATTATTTCCAAGATCTTTGGCTTTTTTTTTCTTTGCGGCCTTCCTTCCTACTGGTCTTTCCACAACATCATAGTTATCATTGTCCCCTAAATTTACTGAATCTTGTGTACAAGGGGTAGACGTTGCCGGAGATGCATTTTTTGTGCTTTTTTGCTTCTTTGTTGTTGTATCTTCCATCCATTTTGGTTGGGATCTCAATTCATTCCAACAATGTTCAAAAGAAAAGTTTGATTGATACAAGTCTTTGTACAATTTTTTCGCAATCCCGAATCTAAAAAATAGATTAAAGAATAGTCACTATCACGTAATGAATAATATATATTCATTACAGGTACAAAATTAAATTCTAGTAATACCTTCTCTTTTTCAGTCAAACCACTTCGATTCAACCGTTCAACTTGAGCAAAACATCCGCAAAATTTATTTGTGGCAAGTTGAATCGCCGACCACCAATTCATTAGAAAAGTTTGAGTTCTTTTAGAATCGAAGGTTTTGTACTTATTGAAGTTCTCCCACACTCTTAACCAATATGCCTTTGACTTTTGCTCATTTCCTCTAATTGGATCTAAGCTAATATTAAGCCATGAAGATATGAGCATCATGTCTTCCTCTATGGTGAAGTTTCCTGTGGGTTGTGATATCTTTGTGGTTTGAGTAATAATTTCAGGAGAGAATGATAAAGATTGACTCTCTTGTTGAGGAGATTCAGTGGTAAAATCATGGTGGTCAAGGTCAAACTCGTCGTTTATTAGGTTGTTAAAATATGCATTTCCTTGATATTCCATCTACAACACAATTGTTCATACCACACACCCACACACACACACACACAAAAGTATTGAGAACAATAATTCATTCAAAGGAACTGCAAAAAGAAAGTATTGAGAACAAAAAAGTATTGATACAAGCAACTGCAAAGTAAAGCAATAATTCAGCTTATTAGAATTTTTGCAAAGCAGTGGACTTTAACACTAAGCTTGGGTATCCAACAGTTCCAAATGATTACTAGGCAACTCAACTCCACTTATGTCCTCTCTTATCTGGGGTTTATTGAGAACACATGTACCTAGGACAATGACGTTCAAAGGATTTTGTGTTTACTAAACTTTAAAAGCGCAAGACTTTCTTCTATTTATAGATGAGTACAAAGATAGGAATTCATTCATGCTTAATCACTAACTCGAATTTGCCTTACTTTTTTGAGAATACAACCTGAGCACCAAGTTTGATTTAAAGAGCTGTATATATTTCATGTCAGTGCCTATGGAACTTGTATTAAAAGAGGTTGTGTATGCCAACAAGAAGAAAAGGGTTCAAGTTCCACAGACCAACAAAAATGACTCTGGCCTCCTTCACACAATATACATTTTACAATACCATAACTTCTTCAAGTATTATACTATAAGTAATGAAATCTTCTAAATACCCCTGCTACCCCTTGGTTATTAATGCATATTAAAGACCAAAACGATAAAATAAGATTTAGGTATTAGAAAGTGCACATATTGATTAGGTGTACCTTCGTGTGTGCTATTTGTTTGAGAATGGAGCTTATTAAGTCTGGTTATATCCAATCAAAGAATTTAACTGAGGGTTACAAAAAAAACGGATAATTTAACTGTGCAAAAATTAGGTGGAGGAATCTAAAATCAAAAAAATGTTGGACATGTGTCATATTCTACAACTTATACCTTTTTTTTTTCAAGTTCTATAATTTGCACTAATTTTACATTATCACCTCACTACAAGAAATAACAGTTTTGCCGACCAAAATATTAGTCGCCAAAACCATTTAGCGACTAAATTTTTTTGTCGCCAAGTTAGTCACCTAAACTCTGTCGGCGAATGTTTTAGCGACTAAACATGTGTTTGGTCGCTGAAAGTGCACATTTGGCTACTATTTTTTTAGTTGGCAATGTTACCTTTTAGCTACTAAATTTTATTTGGTCGTTTGCTCTTGTGGAGATTCGAACCATCAACCTTCTCCCTTCCTCCAATGCAAGCCTTCGTTCCTCACTCTTTCCACTACGCCTCTATAACACCATATGATTATATATGCAACATATATTATTTATATAGTATATAGACCCGTATTAATATAAAAGTACACATATAAATATAATTACTTTTATTGAACATAATTTATGTAAAAATAAATTATTTACTAGAAAAAAAAGAGACCACTTTTGGCGACTAAACTTCTTTTTAGTCGTCAATTCTATATTTTTGGCTACTAATTTTTTTAGTCGCTAAAAAATCTAATTCCTGCGCTAAAATTACTACTTTTGGCGACTAAACGTCTTTTTAGTCGCCAAAAAGCCTCCCTTTTGGCTACTAAATTTTTTTTAGTCGGTAAAAGCATCACATTTGGCTACTAAAATATCTTTTTAATCGCCCAATGCCTCACTTTTGGCTACTAAATTATTTTTAGTAGCCAAAAGCCTCACTTTTGGCTACTAAAATTTTTTTAGTCGGTAAAAGCATCACATTTGGCTACAAAACATCTTTTTAGTCGCCCAATGCCTCACTTTTGGCTATTAAATTATTTTTAGTAGCCAAAGGCCTTACTTTTGGCTACTAAAATATTTTTAGTCGGTAAAAGCATTATATCGGTGACCAAACAGATTGTTAGTCGCCAAAACCTATACTTTTGGCTACTAAATTTTTTAGTCGCCAAAAGTCTTTCTTTTGGCTACTAAAATATTTTTAGTCGGCAAAGCCTATACTTTCAGCGACCAAAGGTGTTTTTTTAGTCGCTAAAGATGCTTTTTCTTGTAGTGCCTATAAGACCTATGAAAAATTAAAATGCTTATCAGTGATATCATGCCACTTGCATAAATGAGATACTTCAAACAGGTCCATCATTCTAAAATATAAAATTTGAGGTAACAAAAGTGTGCTGAATTTAACCAATCTGCTGATTGTAGACGCATATAAGTGCATTATCCACATCAGAATAACTTAATAAGAATAATGCAAAACAAGCTTCACACGACTAAAGACATTCCCAAACAATAAAAGTAGGAGTTCGCTGTCACGACCCAAACCCGCCCCTATGGGTTTAGCACCGTAACCGACCAGTAATCCAAGATTACCGAAGGCCTGCTTAACAGTAATACAGTAAAACAGAGTACAGGGGCATGGCGGAAGCCAAAACAGTAAATAAACAATGTCCAATAAGCTGTGACAGTCTGTATGCTAAAAAGACTTTTCATACACATATACATGAACAGTATAGAACAGTATGTACATATATACAATCATTCAGTTCAAGGACCTAATCCCTATTAAATAGTACTGTAACAGTCTATACAGTTATACAAAACAGATACAGAGACAGACGAGGAAATTAAAAACACCCCTAAGCCATAACTTGATAGGCTCGGAACCTCGCAGTGAGGCACATAGGTTGGCTCGATAAAACTGGAGTTTACCTCGACGCTTCTAGCCACGGTCTGGTGCCTGTACACCTACATATATATATATGAGCAGTGAGCTAAAGCCCAGTGAATAACATAATGCGTAAAGAGGTTAAGAATGAATGTCCTTACAGTAATGAAAACAGTTCGTTAATTCAGTATATCAGTCATTCAGTCATATGTGGTACATCCATTAGCATAACAGTACAGTAAACAGTAGGTCTTAAAAGACCGAACAGTAAATGATGGCCATCAATCAGTAAATAGTAGTGGTTCCAACAAGGGAACCGACAGAGATCTCTGTAATAGTAATAGTAAACAGTAGTTGCTAAGGATGCCACAATACAGTTCAGAATATAGGACATACATTCATTCAATTAACAATATCAATTCAGAAAGCAGTACAGTTCAATTGTTCAGAAGATAACCATTTTGAACATATCTTTACACAGTTGTTACTCACAGAGTTCTGGGCTACAGTAAAGCTAGAGCGCGTCCCCAGTTGCCAACCCTACACAGTTACAGATTGAACACACACTAAGCTACACAGTCAGGAAAGATAATAACTTAATCCCTAATTTGCCTCGGTGTGTTCTACATCTATATCCTCATTAAGATGTCTTAAACTAGGCCTAAGAATGCCTAGGATGGGATGAGGATGCAAAGATGCATTCAAAAAGCATTTTCAGAATTTTCAGAAAATAGGGGTCACGCTCGAGCGTAGGTTACTCTGCTCGAGCGGACATGCAGACAAAGGTTTCCGCTCGAGCGTAGAATTACCCGCTCGAGCGTTCTGCAAAACAGTCAAAAGTGCTGGATAAGTGAAAATCACGCTCGATTGGGCGCTCGACACCCGCTCGAGCATGAGACACAATGTCCCGCTTGAGCGTCAATTATTCCGCTCGATCGGACATCAAAACAGTGCAAAGTACTGGGAGCACGAATTTCACGCCCGAGCGCCAGTAACCCCGCTCGAGCGTGAGTCCAAATTCTAGAAATTCTAGATTTGAACCTCAAGCTCAAAACCAAGTTTTAAAACATAAATTTCGATCCTCTTGGGCCAATTTTCCAGAAAACATCCCAAAACTCATAGTTTAACATGATTCCAAAGCTCAATTGTAAAATCAAAGCCCAAGGGTGTTTCAAACAACTCAATTTCAAACCAATTTTCAAGAATATGAAAAACATGCAAACATGCATGAATTTAAACCATTTCAAAACTTCAATTTCATGCTCTAATGAGCCAATTCTTTCAAAGACAAGGTGAAAACATGGTTTATGATCAAAACATGGACATGCATGTGGCAAATTTATGAAGAACAAGCTCTAAAATGCAAGAGTATACCATGCATGCAATAATTAAGCTCCAATTCAACACTTTGAGGCATAAGTTGGCTCTAGACTTCAACTTTGTTCAAAACCATGCAAGAACAAGCTTAACACAACAATGAGAGGTTGAATTCCCTTACCTAGGTCTCCAATACAAGGTGAGGAAGCTTAATTTGCTAATTCTCTCTTCAATTCTACCAAGTTTCCAAGCAATTTGGTTGAAATCAAGTCCTTCTCCTAGCTCTCTCTCTCTAGTCGGCTAAGTCTAAGAAAAATAGACTGATGAAGTGTTGTAATGTTAGCATTAGAGATTAACTAAGAGGCTCATGAAAGTCCATTAGGTGGCAAAATGGCAATTAAGTCCAACTCTTGTAATTTAATTCATTTTAATCCAATTTAATCATACCAAATCACATTTTAGATAAATACACCATAAAATCACATAAATTCCAATGAACACAAATCATCAATCAATTTCAGATTCGGCCGCCGATAAGGCCTTCAATTCGCAATTTAAACACAAAAGCATGAACAGATAATCAAACAGTCAACAGATAGACATACAATTGAACAGATATACTTAATCAATTCAGTTCCAGATTTCAGTCAGTCAGTTCAGTATTTCAATCAATTCAGTTACCAATCATAATCAGTCTTAGTTTAGCAGTAATCAGTGGTTAATCGGTAAACAGTGACGAGGGTTGTTACATTCGCTCATCAAGATTCCTAATCAAATAAACAAGTTCCATCATGCAGTGATTTCTTTATCTTATATTTTTCTATATAAAAAAAAAATCCATAAAGGAGTACGACACAGAAAAAGTATTAAAAGTAAATCAACTAATAAAGTTTTAAATTGGGAATTGTGGGAAATACATGTATTTTTCTCCCAAGAATCTATCAATTTTTCCTTTGATCCAAATTGCTTAAATATCATAGACCACATTCTGTTTCTTTCACTATTCCCACCAAGGTTTCCTCTTTTGGTTTTACTTTACTTACACTTAAGGAACACGTGATAGGCCACAAAGAGATCC